ACTTATGTAACATTCAACCGAAGACATTTGATGTTTAAGTTATGTTAGTAAATGAGCATTCATCTAGACATAGAGCTTGCTTAGAGATGTGTCTAGTATTAAGGTTGATAGTTTAATTGATCATTTACCATCCTTAGTTTGAAGTTTGATCACCCAAGATCTAATCCCTATTCCCATGGGTTCTCCCTTCTCTTAATTAAAAGAAGTTATTTTAATTTTCGCTTTTCTTATTCTTAGTTATAGTTTAAAACCATCATTTATTCGATTACACTTAGATTAAGTGAGTACTTGCATTCTCAGTGCTTTAAAATCCATTAGAATTGGTTCGACAATCGTTTATACTACAACATTTGTCTAAGGAGCCTTAAAAACTCCTAACTTCATGGAACATGGGGACGTTCAGTATAGTCTTTTCAAAACACGGGAACCATGGATTCACTGGATCGCATCAATTCTTCTTTGAACTTCTCCAAGACGGACTCAGCACGGGTAAGTACTGTACCCTCAAGACTCCAACCTTGTAGATGAATGGTGAATGGTCTTGTCCATTAAATCTAGTTGAGGTTTCACTTTTCCTATGACAAGAGACACAATCGCACTAGGATCATTTGATAGAGGATTCGAACAATTTTTTCTTGATTTCTTAGACTTAGCTGTTGGTGTTGCAATATCTCTGATACGATCAACATCAACTTTAGTAATTCTCCCTACATACATAGACATTTTGAAATTATGATTATTTTATGAGATCAAGCATGTTATCAACTGTTTGATCTGACTCTTCATCAGACCAAGTTACTGTTGACTCGTTAATGGGACGGACTGGGTCTTGCAATAATATGCGTGTCACCACAACCTGAATACAGAAGGACAAAAAATTACATGTTACGATTTTTGAAATGCCCATTAGGCCACAGAAAAAATTCAATAAACTATCAAGAAACAAACATTTCATACATGAAGATAATAATGCAAATTTGGCATAACATGAGATACATGGTTTGACAAACAAACTAACCACAATTTACATTAAAACTGATAATATAATTTGCTAAATGGATATATTTCATAGAGAGTCTTAAAAATAAATAGATAAAGATGAGCTGAGACCTTACATCACTTTTCTTGTCAAGATTGCACGCATGTGAAGGATTAAGGATTTGTTTCTTGCCAAATTTATTACTCGGATCAAGAACATCATCTTCGCTACCATCTTCGGAAGATGAACAACTTTCTTGAACAACTTCCGTAAGGGCAGGAACAACTTCCACAAAAACCAGTTGTAAGGCAAGTGGAAATCCTTATACAGCAATGTTGTTTTGTGACAATACCACCTCATCTCGCTCTTTCGTACTACTCATAAGCAAGTCAAACGCCAATCTTCCCCAAGGATATGAAAAAAATGCATCAATATCTTTAATAGCTTCTGCATGTTCTTTACTAATCTTCATATTCAAGCTTGTAGGGAGACGAACGGACTCAATACGGATGTCTCTGTCCGTAACGGTTCTCCTCCTCAGCATTCTGATGATAGAACGATGGTTACTACATCATTTTTTCCCGAATAAAGTCGGCGAATAAGGTTACTCCGATATAGCTTCTCTTAGTTTCTGCTTTGATTTCCGTGGACACTTCCCACATGGTAATCCTGATGCGCCCTTGGCTAGATCCCCTGACAAAATAGACATACATGGCTCGATCATGGGAAGCAGTAAAGATATATGTTCATCGTTTGACTCATATATTCTAAACCACGAGACTTCTACACATGAAATAACTTGTAGAATGTTCTCAACTCAATTATGGAGCACCTCGAAGAAGATCAGATGAAACGGAGTTCAGATGTAGGAGTTATGTCATTTACAAATCAGATGATCTTCAGTTCTCGCGAATTCAGACATGTGCACATTCAAGTGAGCTGGATCGACACTATTTTGGAGCTGGATGAGCTAAGTGATATAAGTGACACTACGTTGGAGATGAGTGAGCTAAGAGACACTGAAGATGGAGCTGGTTTAGCTGCTAGGCGAAATGAGTTTTTTCAGCCCAAGGAAAAGTTCATAGAAAGTTCAATATGAGTTTGTTTCTTTCCAAATTCGACCAGCCCTTTACTTAGTATATTTAAAGCTCATTCTCATCCAAAATACCAAGAGGGGGTCAACAAATAAGTCTTGGTCGTGGCTTGCCAAGAGTGCTTCAAAGACTAGTCAAAATTCAAACTTCTTGGTTCTACAAAAATCTTTAGTCTTAGTCTTTGTTTGTGTTTTCTAAGTATCTAGTTTTCCACAAATTCTTTAAGTCTTTCTTTGACTACTTCTACTATAAATATGTAATCACATCCAAAGAATAAATCAGATTGTTTTTCTCTTTTTATGAGTTTATCTCTCTTTGTTCTTTGTAGAACATTTCTTAGTTTCTTGGTGAGATTATCTCCAAGTTTAGATCCTTCTTTTCTTGGACCGGTGCTTCACACCCGCAAACGATCAAAGTCTGGTAGTATCATTGGGCAATCCGCAACCCTTTGTGTCACGGTTCAATCCACTAGTTCTCCTTTTTGGCGAGTTCATATCCTTTTAATCCGATTGAGTGATCATGTCCCGATTTAGAGCGTATCAAATCCGGTGACAATCTCAAACTCTATAAGAGGAAACCTAACTGGCTGTTCGGCAAACCAGAACCACGCTTTGTGATTTGTTTTTTTTTTCAGCTGCCGCGAGAGAAGATACCGGGAAAAATGGCCGGAAAGTACCGGTTTCTCCACAATCTCGAAGAGTTTCCAAAAAGCAGATCCTCTGATAAATTATTTTTCCTCCTCTTCTAACATATTTAAAATCCGTTTAATAGCTCCAAATGATTGATAAGTAAAGACGCGAACACCTGCTGGTTTTTCACCGGCCGCAAACATCATCTCCGGAATCGGCTTCGCTTGTTAGACCTCTGGTAGACGCATCGACACCATCGCTACAATCACAGTGCTCCGACTTGGCTCTCTCAGTATTATATATAAAGATAAGAGCAAAGAGAGATGAGAACTTTCAATAATGTTGTTCTGATAAAGTTGCAAAACGATTCTTTGCTAGTTTCGACAAATGGGGTCACTTGGAGTAGGGCAGTATAGGTCAGTGCCGGCCTTGACACCATGCCAACCAAGCGGTGGCTTCCGGCCGCAAACTTTTATAAAATGTATCAGCCACAAATATAACTAGTGTTTTATTGGTCTGGTGGCATATTACATTTAGTTTCTTTTTTTTTGTGTCAGCGCATGTTACATTTAGCTATACCTTGCATGTCATGGGTTCAAGGCTTTACAGCATTTCATCAAAAGAAAAAAAGTGTAAGAGTGGGCAAATCAGCCAAAAACAATTTCTTGCTTGCAGTCTTAGAAAAGTCAAGACCAGCTCTGATATATATAGGTAAGTATTGCAGCTGAAGCTATACCTAGTTATTTATGCGCTATAGCCTATCATTTAAGCTAGCCAGAGTGAGGTAATAATGTCATATATAGAAAGCCGAAGAGTGGCTATAACTTCAAAAGGTGTATATAGCATTGCAATCTCTTATATATTAATCATGGAACATTACAACATATTTTGGTACTCACGTGTCACAATAAGAATGATTTTCAGAATTTTTAGAAAAATATGTCAGTTCAACTAAACATATGTAATATTTTTATTAAACTAATTATCATATTTTATTAGTAGTGCACAAATGAATATTTTATATTCTTTCCTTAAATAAAAGTTATAGAATTACTTAATATGATTAACATATATATCACAATTAATGATTATGAATAATAAAATCTTTATTTTTATTTATTTTTATATTATTAAAAGAATTTAAACAATCACATTAATCATATAATAAAGAATTTTAAATTTTCTTAGATGTTATATTTTGAATTTTGTAAAACGACAATAAATTACTAAAAAGGGTAAAAATCTCACTTTGAAAATTTTGTGATCAATGGTAAGGTTTTTTAGTTCAGCCAATCATTTTTTAATGGGTCGTAACTAATTTTTAATGATTAACTATATGGATCACGTACATAATAGAGTGTGTTTTGGTTTAAAATTGTTGTATACCCAAAAACAATATGAACCATCATCTTTTTCGTTTAAAATTTTGTTACAATCAAAAATATAGAGTTGGGCAAAAAATATGAATCCAATTAACCAACCAAATTTAATCCAAAAAGTAGTACAGAACATTAACCAAAATTGGTCAGATATCCACATGGATTCAAATTTTTGGTATCTAAAGAACCGAAACTGAATCGAAATATTTGGGTTATCCGAGAGTACTCAAACCAGATTTATATACATAAATATATTAATTATTTTTAAATTTAACATCTAAGAATATAAAAAATGCATGAGATTTTGTAGAATTTTCTAAAATACTTAGAAATATATAAATAGTTAAAAGTATATATTTAAAATAGCTAAATGATACTGCAAATACCAAAAAAATTGAAATATTTATTATTTTTTGTCCAAATATTTAAGATCAACTAATTTTATGTTAAGATTAAATATTTAGGCATATATTTTTCAAATTTATATGTTATGTATTATTTTTACTTTTTAGATTCCGAGACATTTAAAGTATATATGAACTTTTAACTTTTTAAAAAGTTAAATAGATTATGCGAATCTAAACCCAAATCGTACTTGCAAAGATTTAAACCAAACCCACAAAAATCTAAATCAAATAAAGCCTAACTGAATTAAATGGTATCCGAATAAAATACCATCCGTAACCAAATTTAAAAAAAAAAATTATTAATACAAAAAGCTCACCCCTCCCCACACGGGCGGATTATCATCTAGTTGCTCTTAAAAAGTGTGACATAACATAACCAAAGGAAAAGTAAGTGTTTTATCCCTCCCATTCTCATCCAAGTCGGACAAACAACACGTCACCTCCTCTTCCCTTTACCTCCACCAGCGATCAAACTCTATTCCCCTTCTCCTGCCTGCTTAGTTAGTTAGGTAATGGAAGATGACGTCGAGGAGAAAGTGGAGGAAGCTGACCGACTTCTTCCTCCCCAGTCTCTTCCCTCTAACTCCTCCTCATACGAATCTCGTGACAAGATCGTGATCGTCGATTTCGAATCAGCCGAGGATCCCGCCCCGGCGCCACCTCCTTTCTCGTGGCGGAAACTGTGGCATCGCCGGCTACTCTCTCCTATGGCTCTTAATGTGGGCCACCGCCACGGGATACTGATTCAGATGCTCTCCGCTAGACTCGGTGTCGCCACCGGTAAGCATCTTGCTGAGCTCTGCCACCACGAGTATCCTACTTGGGCGAGGTATTTGCTTGTGTCTATGGCTGAGCTTGCTCTCATCGCAGCTGATATTCAAGAAGTTATCCGTAGTGCAATTGCCATTCAGATTCTTAGCCGTGGCGTCTTGCCTCTCCGGGCTGGTGTTGTCATTACCGCCTGGTGAGGGTGACTCTTCTTCTTCGTCTTCCTCCTTTGAATTTGTATCTACTTGAATTCTTGGTTCTAATTCATTCTTTGCAAACAGTTTTTTATTTTTGTTATGGTGTGAGGAAGTTAGAAGCTGTTTTTGCAGTTTTGATTGCAACTATGGGTTTGTGTTTTGCTTGGATGTTTGGTGAAACTAAGCCTAGTGGAAAAGAACTTATGATAGGTAACAAAACAAACATCTTTCTCTGACTCTCTTTGCTAAAAAAGTTCAGATCGTTGTTGGGGTCATGGTAGGTATTTTACTTCCACAACTTAGTTCAAAGTCAGATTAGACAAGCTGTAGGTGTTGTCGGCTGTGTCATAATGCCTCACAACGTCTTCTTGCATTCGGCTCTTGTACAGTCGAGGAAAATCGACCCAAAGAGGAAATCACGGGTTCAAGAGGCGCTTATTTTACTATTTGATCGAGTCATCTGTCGCGCTTTTCATCTCTTTCATGATTCACTTGTTTGTAACTACTGTATTTGCAAAAGGGTTTTACGGAACCGAGAAAGCTAATAACATGGGCTTAGTTAATGCTGGTCAGTATCTTCAAGACAAGTTTGGAGGTGGGCTTCTCCCGGTTCTCTATATCTGGGGAATCGCTGTTGTTAACAGCCGGACAAAGCAGTACCATATAACTGGTACATATGCTGGACAGTTTATAATGGGAGGGTTTCTGAACCTCCGTCTTAAGAAATGGATGAGGGCGGTTATAACAAGAAGCTGTGCTATTGTGCCCACCATGATTGTCGCTATCGTGTTCAACACTTCTGAAGCTTCCTTGGATGTTTTGAATGAATGGCTCAATGTGCTTCAGTCTGTACAGATCCCTTTTCCTCTTCTCCCTCTTCTAACATTGGTATCTAAAGAAGAAACTATGGGAGATTTCAAGATTGGACCTATTCTCCAGGTTAATTTCAATTTCTTTTACTATACACGTTTTGAGTTTTTCACTTGAAATGAGTCTTCATCAAATCCTTTTATAGTTGCCTTGAGTTTGTGTACTTGATGGAATAGAGAAGCATGATGTCACAAGGCTAGAGGTTTGTGAATTGGTTAGAGATATTGCTTTAACTTGCAGAGAATAGCATGGACTGTGGCTGCACTTGTGATGATCATCAATGGGTACCTTCTGTTGGATTTCTTTGTATCAGAAGTTAACGGGTTTATGTTTGGAGTTACGAGATAGCTAGCTGCACAAAAATAACTCCCCCTCAGGCCATATGTTTACATTTTGAAGATACAACGGTAAACAAACTTCATCCTCTATACACATTCCAAACGCCAAACTAGTGATAAGGTATATTTAGCATAGCTTTTGCGAATGTGACATTGTACTTTTTTTAAATAGTATATTCTCAATATTGCTCTCAAGATGCTTTTACATTGATAACATTTTAAAAAGCAGAAAAACAAAACAATCAACCTGAGCATAGCCATTGAAATAAATGGCCAAGCAAAAAGGAATTTCTTAGCTATCGTTAGCAAAAAATCTTCGATACTAAACTGCAACTCTAATGGCAGTTATATACAAACCCAAATTCAGGCACTAACAACGTCCAACACAAGGCTTCAACCTTCTTTACGCCTTGTCTCTTATGGTAACATCCTCAAAGAAAGCAAGAGGCAGCTCGGGTGAAACAGGCATGGTCGCAACATACTTGAACTGCATCACCAAGATATTTAGATATTCAACATCTAGAAATGTTGTTGTAACATATACTAAGATACAATTTTATATCATTGTAATGCTGTTTTTTTTTTTACCTTATGTTGCTTGTATTTATTTCTAACAGCTTCTAGATCGTTCCCTCTTCTGCTTAGATACAAGTCATGTATAATACCCACACATTGTTGCAGATCAGACGCTTTGTACTTTGTGTACTCTTCTAACATTTGATTCTGCTTTTACATCACGGAAAGAGATTTTGATTAGAACTCAACACCTCTCTGTAAAAGAAACAGTCATGGATCTTCCAATCGCTTACCCAAGGATGTTGTTTTGGACGGATGATGAATCGGGCGAGAAAGACAGTAGAAGCTGCCAAGAGAGAAGGTAAGAACTTCACACAGCTATAATCCAACAGACTCAGTTCTGAGAGATAGCAACAGAGGAACTCTATCTGCAATAGTGACTCCTGCAAAGAAGGCGTGGAAAACACCAAGAATGAACAACTGAAACTGTCTAAGTTGCAAAATGCTCATGGGTTTGAGCTTACATTGAAATCCTCTTGAGCAACCCTTGTGAACCTTCTGCACAAACCCAACATACAAACAAAAAGGGCACAACAATCAAAATGGGAACAAGATATCAAGTATAAACACCAAACTGTTTAAACCTTAGGAATGTTTTGATGGTTGGACATCCTAATTGAAACTGTAGTGCAAGAAGTATATCTGCCTCCATGGACACAACATCTTGTCTTGTAAACGTGTTATCAGTAATGTAAACAAAATCTTCCACTTTGGGAGGACTTATCTCTTCATATTTCCTACTTTTTATCAAAGCAAGAGATTCCTTTAAGCCCCAAGTATATAAGAAGCAAAAAAAAAAAATACTTACGAGGCAATAAGCATAGCAGAAACTCCCACAAGCTGAAGCCTATGCCTGTTGATAGGCTTTGCAGACAAGAATCTATCGACATAAGAGACAGTGAGATAGAGTGTGTCGGAAACAAGTTTGTATTCCTCAGCAACTTCCACTAACCAGTCCACCAAGACCCCTCTCATGCTTGGAGTTATATCATTCTGAACCTTCTCAATGTAATCATGTAGAGGTCTTTGTTTCAGCTTCCCCTAAAAACAATTTTCAGTATTACATACCAGACAGACAGTTATGTGATAAGAGCGAACTATGTTTACCTCCATTTCGCGGAGATAGGCACAGATGTCTGCGACATAAGGTCCACACATCTGAGGATCGATAGATCTAGATTCGAAATCAAGGTTCCGAGCAGGAGGATTCTTGGCGGGGATGAGAGTTGGTTCAGGCTTGTGGATCTCTCTTTTCTGATTGGGTATCAGTGGAACAGCCACATTGGATGCATTCGGAAGCTCTCCGAGAACAACTCTCTTCTTGCTAACTGGATTTTCGTCCGCCGTGGAGGCTTTCCGTTTGGCCGCCGCCCTCGTCCTCATCCTCGTGCAGTTCTGATTCTCCGACATGGTTTCTCAGTGGGTAAGAGAAGATTGCGATAAAAGGTGAGGCAGATTGGATTCAATATAGAAATGTATATGAGATTGGAACTCTAAAAGCGCCATTTTCATGGGACTTCTTTTTTTTAGGTCATGGCGCTTTTCTTTTTCTCAAGTGCTTTCCAGCTTTTAGGGATTTTACCATCCCAAATTTGGGGCTTCTTATGTGTGTCAGTCATGCCCGCTGTTTTTTTTATCCTTGTAAACTTTTTCACAATATTTATTTTAACTTACCCGGCTAAACCAAACTAGAAATCTCACGAAACTATAACCACAGCATTTCTATGAATATCAGACCCTAACATAAACTCCACATTTTAAGATAAACCTCTGAATAAATATATATTAGTAATTTTAGATAATCTAAACACTAAATTTCTTCACGATGTGTTATCTTATGTGGCAGATTATATCGGGGCAGGTGGCTGTTACGAGTGCGCTGAATCGTCGACACATGAGATGCGATAATGTCTGCCCACGATGCGGAGAATCGGATGAAACAATTGCACATGCAATTTTCCAATGCCCGCCGGCTTTACAAGTATGGGCCTTATCATCTATTCCTACCAGTGTAGCTTTATTCCCTTTGGAGAGTACCTATTCGAATATGGATTATCTGTTCTGGCGGAAGAAGAGTATTTGTGGGCCAGAACTGGAAAGAGATCATTTTCCTTGGTTGATATGGTACATTTGGAAGGCTCGGAATGATAAGTTGTTCAGAGGTATAGATAGGGACCCTTTGGAATTGGCCCGATATGCAGAGAGTGAGTGTCTTACCTGGTTCCAAGCTAATGAGCAGGACGTTGTGATTACACAAGAGGACGGCGATACTGAACGACAGGCCATAAGCCTACGTGATATTTGCATGATAGATGGTTCTTGGACCTCTATGGATCAATTTTCCGGTTGTGGTTGGGATTGGAAGGATAGCATGGGAAATAGTCATCTGATGGGGATGCGTAATGTGAGTAGAGTGGAGTCGGCTTTGCATTTTGAGCTGGAAGCGCTGCGGTGGGCAATGGAGAACATGCTTCAACATTCGCCATGTCAGAGCTTTGGGACGGATTGTAAGGAATTGTTAGCAATGCTCAAAGATCCTCACGGATGGCCAAGCTTTTCGACGGAACTGGAGAGAATCTCGACACTAAGGATTTGTTTCCCAGATTTTAAGATTTCTTATGTACCTCGAGCTCTAAATGCTATGTCCGATCATTTAGCTAAGACTGTCCGATCGTTTTATCGGGATCTCATGTATGTTGGTTGTTCTATTCCGGTCTGGATTCCCAGACCACCTCAAGCTTGAGTAATAGATCAGCCTTTCGTTGTCAAAAAAAAAAACACTAAATTTCTTCACCTATATAAAAAGAGCACGCTTTAAAGAAGATGAAATACAAATTTTACAGTGAAGCTCTCAAATAAACAAAATTAGTGTCAAATTGGTGTTTTGGAGAGAAGCTTGCAGCCAGATACGAAAGAGATAAGCAAAGAGATTGAGTTGGATTGATAGATCTCGTTGCAAAGAAGACACAGCATTTTTGGATCTCAACTACGAGTTCACAGAGTTATATCAGGAGGCAATTTCACGTCGATACAGAAGGATGATGAAATTGTTATCGTTGGAAAGCTGACATTCTCAGCTTTATATACCCACCAGTAACATTCAATTACGAGATTCACATAGAGGTTTTAAAGGAAGGTTTCCCGGCCAACCAAAAAGATTTAGAAAGCGAGTAAAATGTCTCTTGAAAGATCTTGTATCTTTTTTATAGAATTTCATATTGTCAATCGCCAATAGTATTTCAACCGTTATTTCCAGAGCCTACCTTTCAACCTTAAGACAAGGTGAGAATACGATCTGTGGATCCTTAATTGTATTTGTTTTCGTACATATGAGGTCTAGAAGTTTGCTTGTATTTGACTATGATTGATCTATGGTGATTATTTGTGATGATAATGTTGATGATGAAAAGATAGTTGATAATTGTTTAATTGTAATGTTAGTGATAAGTTGTGAATGTAGTTAGTATAATTGAAATGTGTGAAGTCTGACTGAGGACGAGGACATGGTGATCCCATTCAAAGCCCATAAACCGGCTGGCGAACCTAAAGTGGTGTACGACCTTTCGAGGTGATGGCCAGCCCAAATGTTGTGTTAGTATTATTATAATAGTTATGATTATTATGTGAAAATGGTTATTAAATGAAAAGTGTTATTGTGTTTAATAAATGTGTGTGTTGATATGAATAACATGATATGTTTATTTTTGTTACTATGTTGGATGATGCATGTTCTATGACTAGTATTTTCTTTTTAGGTTGAATAGGAGTGTTGAGAATCAGGTGGGCAGACATGACCATCTTCACTGGATGACTCTATATTATTCATCTTTTTTCCTTTTTTTAGTGTATGCATGTATTTTTTTATATTGCAAGTTAGGGCACATGACAAGCGATTGAGAGACGGGCATTACACTATGTATCATTAATAAATTTGGGCTGAAATATTATATACAATTGTAGAACTCTTCTATATGAATTGTAAAGCAATACCATTTTATATACCATCATCTTTGTCAACTATAAACAAAATTTGGAACTCTTTATATTAATGTGTTAAGCTACATCTTCAAACTTTTGCTTCCATAAGTCACTTAAATCCCTCTTAGATGCTAAAACAACACTGTTGTGAGAATATATATATATAATCTTCCTTCTATCAGACATCTATATAACATCATCGTCCAATTTGACTTAGACTAGTTACTCTCAGAATGTCCATAGCATATTTTAGTGATAATTCATTGGTTCCAAAATTATGTTTTTTTTTCAAATGCGATTATATTAAAGCATTCGAAGAATCTCTCAAGGATTCTCTATGTTTTGACTATATTTATGGGTGATGTATAAGAGTTGATGTATTATCTAGTCTATACTTAACGGGTGTGGGGTAGAGGGTGTGATTTTGTTATAAGACTATGTACATTGGTTATATGTTTACAATATCCTATTTTCAATCCACATCATATTATCTCTTTTACACATCATATTCTCTTTCTTTCACATCACAATTGAACATCCACTCTATTTTTTAACTCTCTAATGGTTCTATTAAAAAAATTACAACACGCTGTCCCACCAATATTATTCATACTTTTGTTTATGTTTTTGTGATCACATATTATAAATAACAATTATCATATAAAATTAAGTAATTAAAAACTCAACAAATTTATAAAAATATTTTTTTTCTTTCTTTATATATTATTTTTTAACTATAAGTAATAAACATTAAAAACAAAAACATAGCAAAACAATGTGAGTTTTTTATGCCTACAAATGAAATGAAACAATTCTCTATTTATAGATTATAAAAAAATTTAAATTTTGATATTAACTTTATATATAGATAAGTACAATTATTATGAAATAATTGATGTTCAATAATTGAGATAAAAAGTTAGTAAATATGAGCATTTAAACAGATTCTTACACTTGCATTTCATATATCTATTTGCAATGCTATTAAAATCTAAGAGACAAACCTAATATTTTGGTCCAATCAACATTTGTCACGTCATATAAGAATGACCTACTTTTATTTTTCAACGGTGTTGATAAGTTTTAACTCTGATTTGCCACATCAATTTTTATTTTTTTTCAACAAACCATTGTACGCTTATCAACAATTGTTAATATTTATCAACAGTTGATAAATCTTCCAGTGTAAGTAGTTTACAACATAACAGAACTACTGTCAGATAGTCATGATGATGAGTTGTTAATAGTAGAATTTGTAGGATGCAAAGAAACACAAGTGGTTGGATCAAGACTTTGGCTCTGAATGGGAAAAGCAGATCAAGCATTGTAAATCTAGCGAATCAAACGGAACAATAGTGGATCTAGCATTCAAGTGCGGATCTAGTGGTTCTAATCTTATGTTTGAATGGTGAAAGTGGATAAAAAGTGGTTCAAAATACTTTTTAAACTTAAATTAATTTACTTAAATTTTATAATATTACTTATTTTCATAATTAAAAAGAGTTATTTTAAAAATACTTTATAAATGAAAAAAATTAAAATGTAGGCTTTTATAAACTTAACTATTTAATAGAATTATAATATACTATGGGAAATAAAATTTATACAGTTTTTTTTTGTTTTTACAACATGCTTATATAGTGTTTACGTTAATTTAGTAAACTATTAGATTGAATTAGAAACATAATTTATATTATTTTTTGTACATCTAATGGAACAAAAATAGATGGAATTGAAATAAAACATAATTATATTATATTTTTAATTTATAATTTGAATATAAATTCTTACTCAAAATATAAAAAGATGACTAAAGTACCCGTATAAAAATAAAATAATGTATATAAATTAAAAAAGGTTTTAAGTACAAATATAACCTTTTGAAATATATTATAAAACTTGATTTAGATATGGTTGAAATGTTTTGAACTTTACAACATAACAGGAAGGATTAAACATAATTTTGTTTATTTTGCGAAAAAATCGTATTGTTATTTTTGCTTTAATGGTAACTAGAATATCAACTTTTAAATATTCAAATAAATTCAAAAATAAAATGTAAATTTAAATTTTACATATAAAAAAGCTAAATACAATAATCATAAAAATCAATACATACGAACTTTATTTGCCATAATGTATTTGCAATAAAGCAATTTGTTTTCTCATATTCGCCATTGCATCCCCTTCAGACGTAACAATTGTTTCCATATCATTTGAATTGTGCTTCAAATCAACGTTATCAGTAGATAATTATCCTAATGTCTCAGCAAAGTCATAATCTATAAAATTTTAAATTCTGAGAAAATTGTGTAAACCCATATAGCAACCACCACTCTCTTCTGTAATTCAATATTATATCTTGGAAAGTCACAAAGAATCATCCATTTCTTCTTCCAAACTTCAAATATCTTTTCAATGAAAGAACGCAC